TTTATTCATCTGAGAAGTAAGGGAGAGAGAGATGATGGGGGAGCGAGAGAGGGGATGGCGAGGGAGAGAGAGGGAAGAGAGAGAGATGGGGGGAGCGAGAGTAGGTGGGGGCGGGGAGAGAGAGGGGGGGGGAGAGAGAGAGGGGGGGCGAGAGAGAGGGGGGGAGGCGAGAGGGGGGGCGAGAGGAGTGGGGGGAGCGGAGAGAGAGGGGGGTGAGGGTGGGGGCTGAGAGAGAGGGGGGGGCGAGATAGAGAGGGGGGCGTGAGAGGGGGGGCGAGAGGAGGGCGAGAGAGGGATCAGGGGGCGAGAGGTTGGGGCGAGAGGGGGGGGAGAGAGAGGGGGGGCGAGACCGAATAGAAAGAGGGGGGGGAGGGGGGGAGGGAGAAGAGGGGGGGGAATAGAGAACAGGGGGGCGAAAGAGGGGGGGGGCGAGAGGGGGGGGACGAGAGGGGGGGAGAGGGGCGGGGGGGAGGGCGAGAGGTGGGGGGCGAGCGGGGAGGGGGGCGATGGCGAGGGGGGGGAGAGAGAGGGGGGGGGCGAGAGAGAGGGGGGGGAGAGGAGAGGGGGGAGCGAGAGAGAGAGGATGGGGGGACGAGAGAGGAGGGGGGGCGAGAGGCGAGAGGGGGGTTGTAGCGAGAGGAGAGGGGGCGGGAGAGAGAGGGAGGGGCGAGAGAAAGAGGGGGGGCGGGGGAGGGAGGGGGGGGGGGGGGGCGAGAGAGGAGGGGGGCGATTGGGGGGGAGAGATAAGGAGAAAGGAGAGAGGGGGCGAGAGAGGGGGGAGGGGTAAGCGAGGGGGAGGGGGGCGGAGATGAGGAGGTAGGGGTGAGAGGAAGGGGGCGAGGAGGGGGGAGGAAGAGGGGGGGGGGAGAGGGGGAGAGAGGGGGGAGAGATGGAGTGGAGAGGGGGGAGCAGATTTTTCTCTAGAGAGAGGAGAGAGCGGGAGGGAGTTGAGAGAGGGGATGGCATGAGAGAGGGAGAGAGAGGGGGAGGGGATGAGGGGATGGAGAGAGGGGGGATTTAGAGAGAGGGCGGGGGAATTGAGGCGGGGGAGAGAGGGGGCGGCAAGAGAGGAGGAAGGGGATGAGAGAGTTTGAAGAGATGGGAGAAGATATCTTTGTGTCAGAGAAGAGAAGGGGGAAAGTGATATTTAGATGGAAAAAGAGGGGGGGTAGAGAAAGAGGGGGGGAGGAAAGAGGGAGCGGGGATACTTTTAGAAAGAGGGGGGTATGGGATGAGAGGAGTCGAGAGGGGAGAGAGGAAAGGAGCGGGTGTGGTCGAACTATTAGAGGGTGTATGTTGAGAGAGGGGGTGGGGGGGCACTGGAGGAGCGGGGGGGGAGGGGTCTGGGGGAGGATTGGGTGAGGAGGGAATGGGGAGGGGGGGGGGGGGGGGGGGGAGGGGGAGAGGGGGGGGGAGGGCCTGGGGGGGAGGGGGGAGGGAAAGGGGGGAGGGAGGGGGTAGGGGGGGGCCATTCTCTTCGGGAGGCTCGGGGGGGGGGATGGGGGGGGAGAGGGGGGGGGGGGGGGGGGGGGGGGATGTTCAAGGGGGTAGTTTGGAGGAGGGGGGGGATGAGAGGGGGGGGGATGACCTAGGAAGGATGGAGGGGGAAGTGAGAAGCTGGCGAGGAGTGAAGGAGGTGTGTGAGAAGGGGAGAGGCAGGGATCCAGGGATGTGCGTGTTCTTCTCTCTTGAGCCAGGGATGAGCCCAAGTATGGGGCACTCTTTTTTCTCTTCCCTTTCATAGAGCAGGGGATGAGGGTAGGGCTTTGAGGGCGGCATCGATGAGAGGGGTGGGCGTCCTTTCAGGGATGAGAGGAAGGGCTGTATAATCATCCGGGGGGGTGTTTCAGCGAGGGGCGGCATGAGAGGGCTTGCGGGTAAGGGCCTGTTTGGTCTGAGAGCTCTCTTTGGGGCGTGAGAGCGTGGACTCCACGGAGGAGTGGAGGAGAGGTGAGGGGGAGAGAGGGGCGAGTGGGGGTCTTTTTCGCTGTGGGGTGGTATGAGGAGGGAGAGTGGAGGGAGGTTGAGAGGCAAGCGCTGTGGTGGAGAGTGAGAGCGGAGGGGAGAGAGAGTGTGATTGGGATGTGGGGAGAGGGTTCGATAAACGAGTGTGGGGGAGAGGTTATAGTCGAGAGATGAGGGCGGAGAGTGGAGGCGAGTCTCTTTACTTGTCTCTCTCTGGGGGCTTTTCTTTCTCTGCTCGGTTCTTCCCTGCCAGGTCTGCCCCCGTAGACAGCACACCAAATTGTCACGATTTCATGAGGTCACCCTGGGGCATCAGATGTACATCCCCCTCGTGTGATACCAACCCCAGGCCCTAATATACCTGCCCTGTCACTGAGTGGCGGCCTGCCATTTAGATTTAGACGAGGCTACCGGGCATATAGTCATTCTCATCATTACAGCGCTGCTCCCATGTACTCCTGCAGATACCAGTGGTTCCTTTCCATCAAGGAGACGAGGACCAACACAGCCCGATTTTACGGAACGCAGGAAGAATCTGGACAAGTGGACACCATCCATAGCTAACTATAGAGTTATATCCCTGTGGTTGATTCTTCTGTTTTTAAGTTGATAGCTAAACCTTAGGCTTTAAGGCAATGAAAGGCATTGTGGACAAGAGCACTAGAGGACTCTTCAAGGGTCCATCACTCAGCTTCGGGTGACCAACCATGTCTTGTGATCTCGTCATCATCCAACTGGCCAACCTAGTCTATATCTGCTCTCGGAGTCCATACAACAGCACAGGCCAAGTAATCTAGTTATTACCTAAAATATCTGTAAAAGTGATAACTGATTGTTAATGGTCTTCCAATCCCCATAACAATTAGTTACACAGATATAACAAAGTGCATGTAGAAAGAAAAACGAATGCTATGGTAAAGTCCACTAAAGCGGTGGAGTTACTTAAAAAGGTGCAAAACCTGGTGTTGCAGTTCTGCACAAAACCAATCAGCTTCCAGTTTTTTTAATTTTCAAAGCCTAAAGTGAAACACAGCTGAAGTTAGAAGTTGACTGGCTGCCGATGTACAGCTGCCTAGCAAGATTTTGCACTCTTCGGTTTTAATAAATCAGCCCTTTAAGTCGACAAATGAAAACCTTTACCTTGGTTAGCTGGATCTCCATTAAAATAGTTCCTTGGTTTCTTCCCCGGCCACTCTCTGATTAAGCATGTTGGATCGTTCTGGTGGGCTTGTACTTGATGGGGAGCTATGAGGACTCATTGAAGGAAGCAGATTTTCATTTTGTAACAATTTTTTTATAAAATAACGTGCAGTTTCCAAAAAAGAAGCTATAAATCAGTTAGTGAAATTAATCATTCTTGCTATCCATTCAAATTAAGAGATGTGGCTCGTTCACTACTTAGAGGACTGTCAGTGTTTCTGCACCGCGTTCTGCCAAGGGCGCCAACAAAAATCAATTGATACTAATGGGACCTGTTTCACACCACAACACTAGGTATCATGTGCAGATTTTTTCAGCGCGATGGGAATCTGCACATGTATAAATTTTGTGTGTACACTTAGGCTTGGTTTCACACTAGTGCAATTTCAGATGCAAACTTGAGTCGCATAGAATCTCATGACAATTGTTTTCCCAGAGTGCCCATTCACATCAACGCAGTGCAGAACAATTTGGAAGAGGGTCATGTGCTTCTTTGGTGCAATTCTGGCTTTATAGAATATACAAACCACATCCAAGCTGCATTATATGCAGTAATTGCACTGAAAGTCAGATCAAAATCTGATTGCAGTGTGAACCTCGCTTGAGCTACTCAGGTGTCGGGGTGATTGAACTCCCATGCATATGAGCTATGTCATCCTGGGCCAGCCAAGATGGCCGAAGACACCACATCCAGAAGAAGCTTAAAGGATAAAGTTCACCTTTCGTAACATCTTACACCCATATTCATGGTGTAACATGTTACGATCGGACTGGCCCGCGCACCCCATCCCGCCATCCACCCCCCTGTCCCATCCCGTTGTGACCGTTAGCAGGGGACCTATGTTTTGTTAAAAGGTGAACTTATCCTTTAAGAGGATGACTGCGTCTGCATGGCAGCTTGCAGACATCACATCCCTGCAGCAGAATTGAGTTTCGTTCTGCTCTAAAGTGTAAATTCAGCCAAAAACATTTCCTATAATTTTGAATAGAGTGGAGAAGGATTAAAACCTTTGTTTGTTTTTTTACTGCTCACTGGGTTCATAACAGATTTTTCCTTACTTCCCATCCTGCTGACAATCATTATATATGCACTATATTGCCAAAAGTATTGGTTGGGGCCCTGCCTTTACACACACACACACGGCAATTTAATGGCCTCCCAGTCTTAGTCTGTAGGGTTCAATATTGAGTTGGCCCCGCCCTTTGCAGCTATAACAGCTTCAACCTCTTCTGGGAAGGCCGTCCACAAGGTTTAGGAGGGTGTCTATGGGAAGGTTGGACCATTCTTCCAGAAGCTCATTGTGAGGTCAGGCACTGATGTCGGGGGAGGAGGCCTGGCATGCAGTCTCCACTCTAATTCATCCCAAAGGTGTTCTGTGGGGTTGAGGTCAGGACTCTGTGCAGGCCAGTCAAGTTCCTCCACCCCAAACTGGCTCCTCCATGTCTTTATGGACCTTGCTTTGTGCACTGGTGTGCAGTCATGTTGGAACAGGAAGGGGCCATCCCCAAACTCTTCCCACACAGTTAGGAGCATGAACATGTCTAAAATGTCTTGGTATGCCAACGCCTTAAGAGTTCCCTTTACTCCAACTCCTGAAAAACAACCCCACAACATAATTAGCCCTTTCACTAAACTTTATACCTGGCACAAGGCAGTCAGGCAAGTACCATTCTCCTGGCAACCGCCAAACCCAGACACGTCCATCAGATTGCCAGACAGAGAAGTGTGATTCTTCACCCAGAGAACATGTCTCCACTGCTCTAGAGTCCAGTGGCGATGTGCTTTACACACCACTGCAACTGACGCTTTGCATTGCACTTGGTGATGTAAGGCTTCGATGCAACTGCTCGGCCATGGAAAAACCCATTCCATGAAGCTCTCTATGCACTGTTTTTGTGCTAATCTGAAGGCCACATAGAGTTTGGAGGTCTTTAGCTATTGACTCTGCAGACAGTTGGCGACTTCTGCACATGCGCTGACGCCACTCTGTCCATTTACGTGGCCTACCACTTGGTGGCTGAGTTTCTGTTGTTCCCAGTTGCTTCCACTTTGTTATAATCCCACTAACAGTTGAGCGTGGAATATTTAGTACCCAGAAAATATCACGGATGGACTTATTGCACAGGTGACCACCTATCACGGGACCACGCTTGGAGTCACTGAGCTCCTGAGAGCGACCCATTCTTTCACAAATGTTTGTAGAAGCAGTCTGCATGCCTAGGGGCTTGATTGTATACACCTGTGACCATGGAGGTGATTGGAACACCTGAATCCAATGATTTGGAGGGCTGGCCCAATTCTTTTGGCAATATAGTGTATATGTAGATTATTATTATTATTATAATACAGTATTCATATAGCTCCAACAGTTCGCTCAGCGCTGTACATTACAATGGGGGGGACAATACATGAGACAGTACAATAACAATACAGTGCGATACACAAGGGGTTTGAGGGCCCTGCTCCTTCCAGCTTACAATGTCGATCTTGCTGGTAGACTTTTTTTTTTAAAATGGTAAGAAAATTCCAATGAAGGTAAGAAGAAAGGTTCAACACAGAACAGTTGCCCATGCAGGGGCTTCCACCATCAACACAAAATAACGTCAGCCTCTTGTCTCTCTTTAGAGCAGCACCACTGCTCAGGCCTTGTGCTTCGGTCCTACTAACCGCCTAACACAGCATCTCTGTGTTCCCATACAAACTCTGTACCTCTGTCAGCTCTTTCCCTTGCAGCCTCCCTGCTGCTCCGGCCCTTAGTCTGTTCTATCACAGACTGCACCATGCAGACATGCACCCTTCTGCCTGCTCCCTTGCAAACACATGACTGCTCAGGAGGGTGGAGCCCAGAACTACAAAAAGCCCAGCACACACCTACACAATCAATGTGCTGGCTGTTCCTAAAACCTGGTCCCAGAACTAACCACTTAAATACCGGGCACTTTTACCCCCTTCCTGCCCAGGCCAATTTTCAGCATTCAGCGCTCTCGCAAGCGCAGTCATGCAACGCTGTACCTAAACTAAATTTTCATCATTTCGTTCACACAACTAGAGCTTTATTATGGAAGCATTTGATCCCCACTGGGGTTTTAATTTTTTGCTAAAATAATGAAAAAAGACCAAACATTTAAAAAAAATAAAAAAACAAAAACGGTTTTCTTTGTTTCCATTATAAAATTTTGCAAATAAATAATCGTTCTTCATAAATTTAGGCCGATATGTATTCTGCTACATTTCTTTAATGAAAATAACCCAAATCAGTATTATTTAGTCTGTAGGAAAGTTATAGAGTTCACAATCTATGGTATATATCTGAAAATCGATCAATCCTGAAGTACTGACGGCCAATCTAATTTCTTGAGACCCAAAAATGTCAGGACAGTACAGATGACCCCTTTTTTGCAAAGTAGACAGTCCAAGGTATTCAGTAAGAGGCATGCCAAGTTTTTTTGAAGTTGTAATTTTTTGTCATAATTTTTTTAAAGTGAAGAAATTACAAAAAAAAAAAAACAAAGTTCAAATGTTTTTTTTTTTTTCATACTGTCACCAGTGCAGTACAGCGTCATGATATAACTGGTGTGGCAGTGATCAGGGACACTGACTGGTGACATGTT